TCTGGAGGCAAATACGTCTATCTTTGGACTGCCCCATTTCTGAAAGAGTGGGCGAAGGTACGTCCAACCCAGCTCCCACTCATGATGCTGAGTAAGACCCCTGCTGAGAAGGTCTGCCTTCACATTGCAGGTCCCTGGAATGTGAGTGGCCACAGGGAAGATTTCGTTGTCCATACACCATTTCCAGAGGGTGATTGCCAGAGACACTGTCCCACCTTGACGATTGACGTAGCTGAGCGCCGTCGTATTGTCCGTCCGAACAGTTACGCAATGCCCTTGAAGGATGGGCTGGAAATAGTTCAGTGCCAGCAGAGCAGAGTCAATAGAGGAGTGGAACAGGCCATCACCGTCAAAGGGGAGATCTTCTATGTATGCCCTGGTATCAGGTGGCAAAGAAGTTGTTCTCAGCCAGGAGTGCCTACGAAGGGCGACCGCTGAAGACATAGTTTTGGAGAAAGTATCCAGTGAGTGCTTAGATGAATTCAGAAGCTGCTTCGCCAGAACCATGCCTTCCTTTTCTGGGGTTTGGGCTGCTTGAGTTTTGTCCTCAGGAAGAAAGGGCAAGATGTCAGAAAGTTGTTGCCATAATGCATACTGGTACCTACTCATACATGCAATGCAATTGGATGTTTTGATTCCCAGGGCACCCGCTGAGTAAAAGCATCTCCCGAAAGCATCAAGCTTCTTGCTTTCCTTGTCAGAGGGAGTCATATGAGTACGTCTAGTTCTGGAAGAAGAGGAGACAACCATGGAGTTTGGTTTTGGATGGACGTGTAGAAAACCAGCTTCTTCCTCTTGCACTCTATACATGTGATCCAGTCTCTGTGTTGACACCGGTGCGGATAAGGGCTTCTCCCAGGGCATCTGCACTGTGTATAGGAGTACTTTCAACATCGGAAGGGAGATCCGTTCGCCATGGCGGTCGCTTCTCCTGATCCTACGGGAGAGGACTGCCAGAGCCCACAGTGAGGAGGGGACGCGATTGTCCACGCTACCCCTGGAGTCTCTGTAGGAGGCTCCTAGACATGGGGCGCAAGAAGGCTCTTTCTCTGGCAACCCTGCCGGCAAAGGGGGGGGGGCTTTCTCCATGCCCTGAAGGTCCTGCTGTGGAGCATCTCGAATGGGAATTAGAAGCACACACCGGAGCAAGTGTTGGTGGCCGAGTGATTTGCAAAGAAAAGCGGATCTAGCATTGAAATGTGAGTTGGAGTTTAAGCAAGAATCACCAAAAATTTAAGCGGAAACCCACCCTTTAAAAGCGGGGGGGGACTCTCGGAAGTGGGGGGGACTCTCCCCCGATAAGAAAAACTAAGTGAACTTTGCGTCTATGTGAAAAGGGGGGTGGAATACTGAAGCAAGAGAGACTGAAATAAAAGCATTTAAGAACTTACCACGCTGAGCTGGGAGAATTAGAGATTGTGATAACTTGGATAAAGTGTAAACAATCTTAAACATGGCGCCCATGAAGAAGGATGAGAAAGACAAAAAAGTAAAACCAAAACGTCTTGCCGGAACTGCTGGTCAAACGAGTCCTGCCCCTAGACAGGACACATCTACAGAGCTACAAAAGATGCTGACGGAAGCATTGCAACCCCTGCTGGAACAAGTGACAGCACTGCACAGCAAATTCGACGCACATCAATTGCAGATGACTGAAATAGCCAAAAAAAAACCACACAGATAAAACTGAACAAGAAGTAAAAGGTTCGACTCACAGCAATTGCGATTGACTGAAATAGCCAAAAAACCCCAGATAAAACTGAACAAGATGTAAAAGAAGTGGATACCAACATAAAAAAGCTTAAAAAACAATTGCAGGTGATGGAAGAAAAGAGATTGATGGAAGAGTCTCAACTGATAAAGTTACAAATGGAGAGAGCAAGTTATGTCTTAAGATTTCAAGGTGTTCCTGAAGAAAAATATGAGAATCTGAAACAGACTATGTGTGATGCATTAGGACCTATGGCAGATATAAAAACGGATACCCTACAAAGCGATATAGATATGATCTACAGATCGTATCCAGAATTTACAAGAAAAAATAATCTGCCTGGGGGAGTGATTAATTCTCAAAGCAACAAATGGATCTACCTTGAAGATCAAAGACAAAGAAATAAAAGTATTAAAGGACATCCCATTTGAAATAAGAAGGAAGAGGAGGAAATACAGAGACTTGGTGATATTTTTACAAAAAAAACATCCCCTACAGACGGTTAGTATCCGAAGGTACAATCTTCAAATTTATGGATGGGAAATAAAAAAATTGACTCTGTATAAAAGGCACGAGAATTTCTACATCTACATAGTGGTCCATCAGGAGAGGTTGAAGCTTAGAAAGAGGACAGCACCAAAGACAGTGAAGAAAAAGGAGAAGCAGCATCTTCAGACGAGGACTCAGACTCTAAATTAGGGGCAGCTGCCCCGAAGACAAGTTATCAGTTGAGAAAGCCGAAGTATAAAAAATAAGATGTTATCACACTCTAAAAGCTCTTAAAATGTTTTAAGTTTTATTTTGCTTTTTAAGAAGTCAGAAGTTGAGGTGTTTAAAGTCATATTATTAGTATAAACTGATTGTTAGATGACCACAATCCATGAATTTGAATTGAATTATGAGCTGTAAGCTAATTTTGCTAAGCAGTTTGTATGACAACCATTCTCTTGGGGGTTTAGTGGGTTTTCTTTACTTTCACCCATAGTATGTAGTTCCCTGCCCTGATTTTGTTGTAGTTTTTATAGTTTGTAGTTTATAGAAAATGCAAATTAAAAAATCCCCTACAGGGGGCACACAAAAAAAATTGGAAGGGAGATCGCTGTGGACGTGTCCATCTGGACGACATCATAAACCGTGTCCGATATCGATGGTTGAGGTTGGACGATAGACAGACCCAATGAATGAACCATTCTTTTGACTAAATCTCCATAAGAAGTCAAGTCCTCACATGGGGAGATTGGGAGGTCTTCGGAGACCTTATGTTTTGGAGAGGTATCTCCCTGTGAGATCTCACCCTCAGACTGGTCGACATTGGAAGCGACTGGAAAGGCCTCGGAAGGTGATGGAGACCTCTGGATAGGAATCGGCAGTGTATGAAGCTCCTTCGGAGTAACTGACGATGGTGGTGGAGGAGGCGATGGAAGACGAGGCGCGACTTGCCTCGGAGAAAGAGATTTCAGTGGTTTGGAGAGGGATGCGGAGGGTGGTGGATGACGTGGAGAGCGGGTCGAATGGTGGTCCCAATCCTCTGGTCTCATAGGCGTTAGCCAAGGCATTGATGCCGAAAGAGGGTAGGAAGAAAACCAGTATGGCATGTGGTGACGATGATCCCATGGGGGAAGCATCGATGAGTGATGTCGGTATTGGGTAGGAGAGCCCTGACCTGAAGGTGGCTTGGGCAAATAATTCCTCCTCGGTGATCGGGATGAGTGGTGCCGATCAAGATGGGCTGTATATTCATCCCATCGACCTCGATCATCCACGCAGAAAGGAGAATGGGATTGGTCATCGGGTCGATGTCGACGGTCCGGGCTGGAACGACCGCTGGTCCAGGAGGAAGCAGACATAGAGCGTCGGCCGACACCAGAAGCCACTATTACCTCACCTTCAGCTTCGGAAGCTGATACAGATGGGGAGCGTCGTCCAAGGTTCATGTGTTGTACCGGAGGGTTCAGCTGCCTGACTGGAGAGTCAAGAATTTCAATCAGTGGCATCAATTGTACATCCGGCAGCTCCAGTACGGACTGATGCGTCGATAGGGAGTGCGACTGCGATATTGTTGGCAGCACAGAGCCCTTAGGGAGTACTATGCTGCTCACCTTGTGAGACTTGGATGACTTGTGGGAGGTATGTTTCTCCAACTTATTCCTCTTCTGTTTCTTCACCGGTGTTGAGGCAGAAGAAGCAGACTTGGAAGAATGCTTCTTGGAGGGGGCTGGCCCCGTATCAGAAGCAGATTTGACTAGTCGAGGTGGTCTCGGCCTCGAGAGGGTATCCGTGGATTCTGGCGTCGATGTTGATGGTTTCGGTGGGGGAATCCGTCGATACCAATGACTTCTGAGGGAGTTTGGTCGACATATGAGGCACACCTCTTAAAACACCCCCACTTCTTATCCATAAACAGTTCCTCAGACGTGAGGGGAGAAGGGGAGGGGAGAGGGTTGATGGTCCGAAGACCACGGAAAGTTCTCACCCGCCTCCTCCTCTAACAGTTATTGACAAAAAGTCCAATATTCTGAGAAATAATCCAATGGAAGAAGAAAAACGAAGAATTCCCGAAGTGAGAATAGGAACAAGCACCAATCGACAAAAGCTGCTAACAGCGCGGCAGTCAGAAGAGAACTGGCGGGATGTCCGCGCTCCACCTCCCTGGGCATGCACAGTTGGGGTTCCCATGCAGGCTCAGGGTGGAGGCACGAAAATCCCGTTGTGAGCTTTGTACAACACCGATCAGATCAGCACACGTGCACTAGATCCCATAGGTGTGATATGCACAGAGACCACGAAGAAGATTAGTTCCATTTTGTAAAGATAAAGGGAGAGCAATGTTAGTATGACTGGGGGACATTTACTTTCAACACACTGGATAATATATTCTGACCTAGAAGACTCCTAAAGGTGACTCTTTGTGGTTTTCAAGGGCATCTCTATTTGCCAGATAGATTGCCCTATCAAACTGGAAATCTGAACCCTAGTAACTCGAAAACCAGTCAGAGGACCTCCTAGACTAAGATGTAAAGGGCAAGGTGGTATTAGCATACAAGGCCATGAGAAGTACTTCATGTCACACAATACAAATGGCTGAATCCATGATTGTAGTGAATGGAACTGCCCTTCCCTTTTTCACATGACCCCTTGTTTTATTTTCTCTGCTCCGCCCTCCCCAAGCTTTTCTCTCTAAACAGAAATAGTAGGAATGATTGGGGGGGGGGGAGAGGTCATCCATTGGCAAGATTTGTACTTATTGTAAAATGTACGCTTTAAATAGAAAAATTCGCTGTATACTTACCAAAGCATATTTAAATCCTTTTAGAGAAGGCTGCAGGGTTAGTTTAATACAACAGGGAAGTAGGCTCAGAAATGTTAAAGCAAAGCTATAAGGCAACAAAACATATTTTTACATATTAAAAACACACTAATTTAGCTACACTTGAATTCACATATTAATATAATTCAGTATTACTACTGTTTGTATTTATTGAATATGAAAACCAATAAAATGTATATAGCTCTTTTAACAAATTATCTCCTGATATCTTGTCTTCATATTTAAAACACAAGGAAAAAGCAACTTAAAACTATTTAAACAACTTTTACAGATGGGTGAAGTGGTGTCCCAATCTTACTTTATTACAATGTGCTAAAATATACTTTTGAAATCTTTCCAAAACATAATACAAACAAACTAAAAGCCAGTCAGGATTTCTGTTCTCACTTACCTCAGTTTAAGCTGTGTCTGGGATGACAGAACCGTCTTAATTTTGATAAGGACACTTAAGGTGCACCAAATATTGGCTACTTTATCCTGAAAAGATATTTTAAATGATGCATTATTTTCTGATGGGCATTATTTACATGATGAATGACGAAGACCCTCCAGATGAAGATCTAATGCCAAGATTAAGTGCAACACTTACACTTTTGTGACCTTGACTCAAAATTGTGCACACTGATTAAAAACAAGTGTTCAGTTAACAAAATCACACTTCTTAGATAAAAGGGCAAATTTCCTCACACTCATTGTAAATATTCAAATACAAAACCAAGTTTTCAGTTTTAAAAAATGAGAAACAAACTTTTTTCCCCAAATGTGAAGCCATGCTATATTTTGCCACATTCTGTTACTAGAACATATTTAGCTTTGCTTGCTAGTTGCTAGCAATGACAGAGTTAACCCCTAATAAATCAAGAAGTCTAAAGACATTAGCAGTTGTGCTAGGATCACTTTCCAAATTAAATTTGTAACCACACAGCTAGCATGCTCATGAAACTCATCCCTAAACAGCTGCTTGAATCACAGCTGTGTAGACATAACAGCAAGAAAGCTACTACCAACAACTGAGCTGTCCCTCCTTATTCACTTGCAAGTGTACAGAACGCACATTGCAAGTCTGCTGAAGGTGACAAGTGCTTGGCAGCACCCACAAACACATAAGATGCCTGCTTAATAGCCAGCAAGGTTTTACAACTATCAGCACTTGGAGGCATCTCTGTAAATGGGAACCAATTCAAAGACTCTGTCACAGGCACCCCAGTATAAACTTACTGCGCATTGCTTACATAGACAGTTTCTCAGTTTATCCAGATTAATATCTAAATCAGTCACTCCCTTGGTCAGCTCTGAAAATATTTCAGCTAACTTTAGACCCAAATTCTTGGGATATCCTGGATAAATTGAATGAAGCTTCTTTACTATTTAAAAAAAAGGGCCTTCATCAGTAAAACCTAGCAATGCGTAAAATAAACACACACACCAAATGGCTGACAGAACTCGGGCTTACACATTTCTATATAGTTTACCCTTGACACTTAGAAATAAGGAAGATCCTAATATTTTCTTTCACCATGCCAGCACCACAACTACTGTGGATACCAGGATTTTCAAAAGTAAATCTGCAACCAACTTCTATCACTATTTATCTCTAGTTCAGACCAGTCATGTTTGTAAATCAAACCACTCTACATTATTCTCAACACCTCTGGGCTTTACTTCATCAAAGCAAGCTGACACATTTTAACTTATATCAAATCAGGGCTTTCAATGTCTTTTGAAGTATGCAGCACTGCAGCATCAATCCAAAGACTATTTTGGAATAGTAAAAAAGAAAACCCAGAATAAAATTAATGCATTTTTAAAGATGTTAAGTAAGATAATAGTGCAAGGGCACTCTTAATTACTATGGAATCTATTTGAATGGAAAAAATGAATGTCTGAGCTATAGATCTGACGATGGGATAAATGCTGTCTACGCATATAATATCCTGAAAGATACCAGCTGAGCTAGGGGTTAAATACTGGATTAAATAACTGGCAAGAAATGACGGCCGGAGAAGGCAGATCATATTACTAGCCCTCTGGTGTATCTTCCACATGAAATCCCTAAGGGTCAAACTGAAGGTTTCTCAAGGGAGCTAAAAATATAAAACATTTACAAGAAGCTTGGAAGGGGAGGGGAAAAAAGAGAGGCATACCTCAAACAAACCTCGATCGACTGGAAAGAGCCTTCTAAGTACTTGTAAGATTTGCTCCACTTCTGTACAAAACGGAAGCCAGCAGAGAGCAAAAGAAATAACTACGACAGAACCGAGTTTCATTAACAACAGCAATCTGTAATATACAAAAGAAAATAATCCAAGCCTGAAGAGGAAAACGAAAAGGTCATGTGAAAGGAACTAATAATAATGTTTGCACATTTTAAGACTTGAAGGCTGACTTAACACCATGAGCATGAACATGCAATAAATAACCAAAAGTGAGAGATCTACCAGCAGTCAAGATCAGGGATAAGAAAACTGTTAAATGTCAAAAGACACACTAAACTTTTTATCTTCTAAATCTGGGTGTCCATTTGTGACCTGTGCTTAACTAATGACAGGTGTTGAAGAGAAAAGATAGTTGTGTGTATTTTGATACACTACGGACACTCTTAAAACTATTTAGTATGTTATTTAATGACTTAAGAGAAACATGTTCTACTGGGGGAAGGGGGAGTGAAGAATTATAATGACATGAATCTCTTCTCTAAAAGCTTAATCGAGAAATGAATGACATGCACAAATTCCCAAGGCAAGGCTGCCTAAGTGCATTCCAGATCCATTTTCTGGATACTCACCCCTTTCCCATAAGGCCCTTCTTGAAACACTTTCCCAGAAGATAGCAGAAGAAGGGCAAAGAATGATAGAGCTCCATTTGTTTATAGTTTATAGCTAAACAAAATGCTATTGAGCCCAAAAGATCCAAGTCATAGGACAGGCAAAGCACTCCCCACAAAGCAAAGCCGAGGCTCACAGAATTATATATGGTTTTCATGTTAAGGAAAAATCCCTTAGTAACGAGGTGATCAAGGATATACTTTAGCAAGATGATCTCCTGCTCACTATCAATAAGGTTTTTCTATGCCATAAACTGACCATATGATCCAGCCAAAACACTGAGGCCCAATGATTTAAAAGAGATAAAAAGGTAAAGGTAAAGGTTTCCCTGGCTCGAAAGCTAGTCAAATCCGACTCTAGGGGGCGGTGCTCATCTCCGTTTCCACGCCAAAGAGCCAGAGCTGTCCAAAGGCGTTCCTGTGGTCATGTGGCCAGCATGACTAAACGCTGAGGCGCACGGAATGCTGTTACCTTCCCACTGAAGCAATACCTATTTATCTACTTGCAATTTCTTGCTTTCAAAAAGCTAGGTTGGCAGGAGCTGGGGCTAGAGATGGGAGCTCACTCCGTCCCACAGGACTAGGGTCTCAAACTGCCATACTACAGACCTTCTGGTTTGCAGCTTAGCATCTTAACCTCTGAGCCACTGTGGACTCTTAAAAGAGATAGCACATGCTAAATTTTCCAGGTGAAATCAATGCGTCTTCAAAGTGCTTAACTTCGTCTGAATTGTACTCTGAGTATTCCAGATCTGAAGGATAGAGCCTGAAACCACATTGTTTGTCTCTCCTCCATAATGTCTCCCATTACTGGAGCCCAAAGGGAAGCAATCCCAGAAGAGCAGCTTAGAGAACATACCAACTCCCCTGAAATCCACAGTCTTGCCCTCACCCAGTTCCAGCCTGGCATTTCATCTGGTTTGCTATACATGCACATCACTTGATGGTTCACTCCTGAGCCTATAAACAGGATCCACTGAATTGTATTTTTTTACGTTTTATTTATTGATTTTTTATAAAACAAAGTTCTCAAATATACATACATCTTCGAGTCATTTATACATTTTTCAACCATGTATACAGTCCCACCCATCTCAGCTCAAACAGTTCTTCATGTTTCCCTTGTAGCATTAAATTTAACTTGTCTATTTCCGCTATTTCCAACAACTTTTTTATCACTTCCTCTCGTTTTGGGATAATCTCTTGTTTCCAATACTTTGCCCATAAGATCCTTGCTGCCGTTATTATGTATAATATGACATATTTGTCGTTATAATTTATACCATCCGGAAGTAAGTTAAGTAAAAATATTTCTGGCACTAGGTCTAACTTCATTTTGCATATTTCTTGTATCCTTTTCTGTATGCATATCCAATATTTTTGAATTTTTGGACACCGCCACCACATATGATAAAACGTTCCATCACTGAATTGTATTTTTGACAAAACGGCAGGTGATATCAGACACCTGTCTCCAGTGTTTAATATACACAGCTCCCATTTCAGTTATCAAGTGTGACACACTTGCATGTGAACTCACTCATGCTTACACCACCCATTTCACATTGAATGAGGACCAAAACAGACATGATATTGGGAGATCCTTGACCAGATCTTCCCAGTGTTTTTAAAAGTCTAATAGCTGCTATGCAGGAGCTCAGTTCAGGCACATGTATGCTGTTCAACCCTTCAAGGCTTTGTTGAATGAAACCACATTCAATCCTTCAAGATTTTGTTAACTGAAACCACCTTGCCTCCCATACTGTTAGCTCTGGAGGAAAAGACCAGCACCCTCCCACTCTCATCTCTCCCTCCCCCCTTTCCATACCTAACAACAGCTATGGGGACAGTAAATGAAATCACACAGTAGTGGAAGCATTGAACTCCTTCTCCTGCAAGCAGCTATTAAATGTTAGGAAAACTGAATCACAGACCTGCCAGTGTCAGATCTGTCTTGGCTCTGAGTGCATGCTGTCACAATCACTACACCAGTTTGGTGTAGTGGTTAAGTGCACGGACTCTAAACTGGGAGAACCGGGTTTGATTCCCCACTCCTCCACTTGCACCTGGCTGAATGACCTTGGGCAAGCCATAATTCTGGCACAGCTGTTCTTGAAAAAAGAGCAGTTTCTGTCAGAATTTTCTCAGCCCCACCTACCTCACAGGGTGTCTGTTGTGGGGAGGGGAAGGGAAAGGAGTTTGTAAGCTGCTCTGAGACACCTTTGGGTAGTGAAGGGAGGGGTATAAATCCAATCTCCTCCTCCATGTAACAGGAACAGATCTCTGTGATCGTGTAATGACTCTAGGTTAGATCCTACAATCCCTTGGTGCAAGCATTCTCCGTCACCCAGCAGTGTATTCCTGGTATCACAGGATCCATTTGGATTAACAGCCATACAGACCAGGGGTTGCACTGGGGAGGTGTGAAGGGGGCACGTCCTTTCTCCCTGTTCTGCAAGTACCCGCTCTGCTAACACATATCTCCCAGATCTCTCTCTCTCTCTCTCTCTCTCTCTCTCACACACACACACACACACACTCTGCATGGGTATTCATCCATGTAGGACCCATGGCCCCAAGAATAAATTTTCTGGAAGTCAGAAGGGACTGCTGGTGAGTGAAAAACATGGGAAAGATCCATGGTTTTCTGCAGACAGAAAATTACCTACATAATCCAAACTCAATGTGTCTTTTTTCACTAATCCTACAAAATTTTAAAAATATTTTTATATTTATATATAAGATTTTAATAGGATTAGTGAAGTTCATGAGAAAGACACATTATTATGGATTACATAAATAAAATCACCCTACAATTATATATATTAAGAGATGTAATCATACAGGGGAAGTATGCAAAATACAAATATTTATAGGCAATGTTAATCCTTGTTCACTGTATAAAAAGATTGGTGTAGAGTTACAGAATCAAGTTTGTAGGTATTCTGCCATTACAGAATATGTAAGGATACTGAAAATGTCCATAATCAATGAGAATAAGGCCTGGATACAGCAATATGCACAGAGCAGTAGCGATCTGTGGAAATAAAAAGACATTTTTTTAAAGTTACCTAATCTTGTAATAGATCATCATGCCCTAAATAGAGCATATGATGGGTATCAGCCAATTTGCTTCACTTCTGCCATCTAAAAAGAGGCAAGCAAGACTATGTCAAGTGCACAACTTTTTGTATTGCTATTTCACAAAAGTAGCAAACGGCCAATATAAACATGATGTGCAAGATTCCTTGATCAGTATTTCCCTGGCCATGGGGAGAGAAAGCCTCAATCCTAATCAGGGCTACAGTATCACAGAAAACGTATTTTGTCTTTCCCAATGCACTACTATCAGTGTTCCTTCTAAGCTGAGTTAGTGTGAGCTAGCTCACAGTTTTTTAGCTTCCGGCTCACACATTTTCGTCTTTGCTCAGGAAGGATGGCTCCAGGGCAAACAAATTTATGCAGGAGCCCAGTCGCTCACCCACAGCTTTAATGCCAGTAGCTCACAAAGTAGAATTTTTGCTCACAAGACTCCACAGCTTAGAGGGAGCATTGACTACTATCCCAATATAACACTCCCCGCTCACCCCAGAGAAACACACTGCTAAGATTTCCCCTGAAGGGCAAGCAGCTACTATGGGAAAGGGGCTATTTCCAATGAAAAAATGGTGTATGGGGGGGTTAAATCCCTCTCCTCCTATACTACTGCCCAGTATCATGGCTACTAGTCAGCCTAGGTATCATTTTAGATATTCACAAGAAGAATTATTTGAAATTACCTCCAACACATCTGCATTCCTCACCATGAGATCTTGACCTGCTTCAGTTGTGACTTTGGAAGCAGACAACTGGATCGTGTAAAAAAGACCCCACGGGCAAGAGGGGGGATATCTCCTTCCTCCTACGGCAGCCGTCCAGTTCCCACTGCATGTTGCTCCTAAGGGCTTCCTGTTCTCCAGGAGCAGCATTTCAGGGGTATTTTGGGGTTCCTTCCCTAAGCTGTGCTTGCATGCATGGATTTAGATGGGATCAAGCCCAGATCTCACGTTGAGCCTCTTTGTAAATTAGAAAGAAATTAAGTTTTTTCTAACCCACATCTTTTGCAATCTACAGATTGGGTCAACCACCAGTGGATTTTGTTCTTGTAAAACATTCCAATAACTGATGTCATGACAATTTAACAAGAACAAATACTTATCCATTTTACATTACCAGAAAATATACTCTGATTACATTACATGAACCAATTTCACTCCTGCAGCTGAACAAAACATTGTATTCATACATAAAGCAAGATGTTTAAAAAAGCCAGGCCAACCTTCTTCTTGGTTGAGGTTTCCCTTAAATGGCAACAGTACAAGATTACTGCAGGTATGTAAACTAGCATATCAGCAACAAGAACTGCAAGACAGAAAAATTATGTGTAAAAACACACAAATATTATTTATCAATCTACAGGCAGTATGGCTTTTTTCCTCCTATGCTGCCTCATGACTGCTGACCTGCAATTATTATAAGTCTTATGACTGTTTGATTGTGGGTCAGACTATCACGACTGTTGCCTTTATACTTGTTTAACTGCGATTATTCTTGGCATTTTCACTTTCCATTTGCATTTGAAACTTAGGTGAATTTTTCGAAACAAATTACGAAAGTCAGTCAGGATTAACACTATAGTAACCCAGACATTAACTATATACTATTCAACCCAGGTACAAATGTTAGGCTGCAAATGCTCTCAAAAGAGCAGGGCTGGTTCAATACTTGACCTTTGTTCTAGAAGTGACAATATCCTTCTGCTGCAAAAGGATACAAGCATTATTAGTTATTTATTAGAACAAAGTTTGAGTCCAGTGGCACCTTTAAGACCAATGAAGTTTTATTTAAGGCATAAGCTTTTGTGTGCACGCACACTTCTTCAGTGAAACTCTGTTGGTCTTAAAGGTGCCACTGGACTCAAACTTTGTTCTGCTGCTTCAGACCAACATGGCTACCCCACCTGAATCTAGTTATTTATTACTTCTTGTTAGGATTGCCAGATGATCAAATGGAAATAGGCCTAGAAGTTTATAAAATTATGTATTATGTGGAGAAAGCAGATAGAAAGAAGCAGTAGGTCTTGAGGTCATCCAGTAAAACTGGTAGTAGATTCAGGACAAACAAAAAGCAGCCTCTCTTCACATTAATTTAAATAATTCACTGCAATATAGTTATGTTTAAGCATGTTAACTAGTTGGCAAATCAACTGGGTTTGTGAGTTGATCCCATAAAAGCTACTGCCATGACTTGTATTGTCTATATGTCTTTTTCTGGAAGACCAATACTAAGGCTCTTATATTGTAATGTCTTTGACAGAGTTTGTTCTCTGTGGCTGTGCTCAAGAAAGGGATTCTTAAAACGTGTAAAACTAACAGTCAACAGTTAACTTGTATTGAATTTTGTAACCCTGATGCACTAGTTTAATGGCTATTGTTAAAAGAATGCCTATCTATTTTCTTAGTTTGTACCATCAATGGTTTGTCAAGCATGTTGATTTGAGCATTATTAAACACCATTTCAAGGGTAATTTGGTTCTAGTGATTTTTAAAATATAATCAATTACTGGAGACCAGATGGAAGGGTTTGTGGCCAACACAAGAGGTGGTGTGGAGGAGTGTCTGATTCTGCCCAGGATAATTGGCAATAAGACGACACTGGCGTATCATAAGGGGATTTTACAGGACTCCAGTCAATCCCGTAGAGAAGAAAAAGACTGAACATAAACTAATAAATAATGAGGTGTTTAGGCTGTCTGATAAGTTACTGAGTGACACTGCAGTCCATGCTTTTCTTCATTACCCACCACAAACTATAAATTAATATGCCTGTGAAAATGACTGCTGTCTTTTCCCCACTGGGTTTAGTTATAAAGGCAAATGAACATCAGTCTTTATGGCTATTTATAGGAGCACTGGAAAGTTCTGGAAAAATGGTAAAGCAACAATATAACAGAACTAGTGATTTGCAGTACTTACAATTATTTGGTTTTGCATATAAATATATATTAATTAACATCTATGTAATTCCAGTGATTCTAGGGGGGAAGACAACTTCATTACCTAAATATTAAAAAGCCCTCAGTGTAATTCACTATTTAAAAGTTGGTAGTAATAATCTTTAAAATACCTTCACCAAACCTAATCTGTAGCAGATATTAGGCTTTTTTTGCAGTGCTTCTTGAAAGTTCCAAAACATTTGCAGAGACATTTTTAGAGTCTCGAGGAATTTGGTCAGTTCAAAACCTCAAGTTTCACATTATTTTAATATTGTAGAGAAGTTGAGGCACAGGTAATGATTTTCCAGCAAGAATTAACAAAACTATTATGGCAAATGGGCAAACTGTTAATAAGGTGCCCTTCAGATATGCTACCCTAAGAGCAGTTCTTTCTATGGCCAGACAGGCACAATTATATAGCCTGTGAATGTATAAAGCCATTCTAGACCATTAGTCCATTTATCCCAGTATTGTCTTTTCTGACTGGCAGCAGCTGTACAATGTTTCAGGCTAAGTTGTTTTCCCAAGACTGTTTCTCAAGATCCTTTAACTCGAGGTTTGTGAATTGAACATGAATCCTTCCATGTGCAAACCAAGCATTCGACTAATGTTGTTGAGGAGTTTTTGCTGTCAAGTCACAGCTGACTTATGGCAACCCCATAGTGTTGTCAAGACAAGAGACATTCAGAGGTGGTTTGCCATTGCCTGACTCTGTGCAGATACCCGAGACTTCCTTGGTGGTCTCTCATCCAAATACTGACCAGGGCTGACCTTACTTAACTTCTGAGTTCTGATGAGGTTGGGCCAACCAGGGCTATCCAGGTCAGGGCACCACTGTAATAGTCCCTCCCTACAACCATGCTGCTAGCTACCTAATTACAGTACTTTTGTCAACACAAGGTTGCATAGGCTGAGGACACTCCAGATTATAATACAAAGAAATTGTTGGTAGTCGTCCCCTCCCTCTTTATCTCTGTGCATCCGTCCCACCCAGAAAACATGGCTTCGCTGCAACATTGCAGAGCATAAGAAGAGGCCTGCTGGATTAGACCAGTAGTCTATCTGGTTCAGCATTCTGTTGTACAGTAGCCAACCAGTTCCTCTGAAGATCAGGCCGAGGCCTTCCCCTGACCTCACCTCCTGGCACTGGTGTTCAGAGGTTTACTGCCTCTGAACATGGAGGTTCCCTTCAGTCACCATGGCTAGTAGCCACTAAGAGATCACTCCTCCATGAATCTGTCTAATCCCCTTATAAAAACATAGGACCATTCTGAGCTCATGTTGAAGTAATATAGTTTTCTACCTGTTGCTCGCATGAATAACTTGTGTGGTAGACTCTCATGCCCATGGGAAGTGTGCAGGGAAATCCAGCTTGGATTTATTAACTTTGCCCTGTAAAACATAAAAAAGAGAATTCTCACAGCTAACCGTTCAGTTCAGCAGTACAAATAACATGCACATACTGTCCTGCATAGTAATTAAATACTGATTAGCAATAAAGCAAACTGAAAATGACTACTCTTTCACATAGGATAGAACAAGATTACTTGTGATTTTTAAAAATGTAAAGCAAGAAACTGAGAACAATGGATTTTGAGCAAATCTATCACCTGTACTAATATTCTTCACCTTGGATTAACCTGTGGGAATTCTCTTCCTGTATAAATCCAATTGTCTGAAGGCTTTCCATTACTGACTGAAGGCCATGTTGAAAAAACACCTTAGAAATAATTATATAATATCTCAGTAAATACATCACACCCAATCTTCTTATGCTATATGATTTCTGACAGTTCAAACTCTTTAATGTGCATCTTCCCCATATCCATCCCCTAAATTGAGAAACAGCGCCTGCAAGCTTGAGCACCTGAAGCTCTAATGCTAGGCTGTGGAGTCCAAGCTCTATGAGGAACAGTACTCCTTTCCTCTTCCACAGCTCACAATAGGAAAGATTTGCATGACTATGCAAGGCTTCCTTGCTGAACCTTCACTATGACCTTGTAGCTTCTGTTAATCACATTACATTCTGCCAAGCGTGGAAGATTATCCAAAATTCCTATTGGTGCCTGTGGCTACGAAACATAAAATACAACATAGTCCTCTATGTTCAAAATGCCTAAGAGGTATCCCAAATACTGAGATATTTGTACAAAGCAAGATTGCTGTTGATATAGAATACGTCGCTGTGAGACTAGATACAACACATATTCTTATCCACTAAATAATTAAAATATTATGAGCTGACTCACTTTTGGACAGTCTACTAAATAAAGACTGAGACCAGCCATATAGTAAAGACAGAATCAATAGTTTGTAGGTCGCCACATATTAATGAGGGTCTTAAACAAGAGAACGTAGAAATAAAGGGGGGAGGACCCTGGGAGACCACTGATCTCTCTGACCATCGCTGTCCTTGACCATATGCCCAGCGGGCCTGGATCTCACTGGGGAGAGAGTTCCTTCAGGCTGGGCAGCCAGACCATTTTGGGACCAGCAAGTTGGTACCAATTGAATATAAAGCTCTCTGAAGGGCCCCTCCCCCTCCCCCAATTTAGCCATAGGACCTCCATCTTCGATGGGTTCAGCTTCAGGCGGCTCTGTTTTAACCATCCCACCATGGCCCCCGAACAGCTGGCCAGATCTTCTGGGGCAGTATCTGGTCGGCCAACCATTAACAGATATGTGTTAAGGTAGAAAGAGATGCACACAGAGAGATAACATCATTAATGGGGAAAGCTTTGTGTAGGTGGAATCTCAGAACTCCCATGAGTGCAACAAACTTCTGAATCAGTCTTCATTTCTTTCTTACTTTTAGAAAACAAGATGTATTTAAAATAATCTTACGTAATTAACTTACACATAAGCACACAAGAGACTGTGATAAGCAGTAAGTGGTGGATAATCAAGGCCCCAGTATTGTAAATTATTGTCACTGGTGTTGAAGTACCTGGAAAAACCCAAAATGAAACCTTGAAATTAATTCATGTAAGGCTACATCTTTGAAAGGTAATGTATTGTAACTTCGGTCTAATAAGCAACCCTTCCATTATATATATATATATATTCTCAGAATTTTATTTCCCACACCATTTGTGTTATAGATTCTTTTCTACAGATAGTCCTATCTGGGCTCACACTCACTCTGGATACAATTGATGATGTCTGTGGTAAGGTTGAAGAGAAGCCCAAAGAGATTTGTTCCTCTACTCATTTAATATGACCAAATTGTACTGGCATATTTTGCAGTTATCTTGAGTGGGACAAGAGAGGCTTGGTCTTCCTTTGACAAGATGGCAATTCACCTGTCATAACAAGGGCATCAGGCACTCAAGACAAGTGGTGCAACTGAAAAGGGAACTGCACATTTCTGTGCAAATTATATTAGCAAACTTTTTAGTAAAAATGCTGGGACAGTCACTCTAGTTACCCTTTTTCTGGCAAAACACGTACGAAAGTGACTCAACAACTTAGTCCTTTTAAGACATTGTTATCTAAACATCATTATACAGTGTCCCTTTGCACAGCCACTCTTCAGTTTATAGTTGTCTATAGGTTGAAGCAAACAATGGACTTCATATTTATTTCAGCACAGATAAATATGAGATTAGAGTTGAAAAATAATCCCACAAATACAAAAAACATCAGTGATCAATAATGGAAGATGTTTGCGGGGGGCTGAATTGACTGTGCTCCACAATACCCATAGCATGTTTCAATCAGATTTTTGTGTCATTTTACTGCCACAAGATATCTTGGCATCTGGCTTGGGGTAGTGAGTATACCTGAAATACAATTCTCTCAAAATAAACAAAATTTATTCTTACTTAACTCACATTTACTTAGTTTTGCAATCTTCAGCACAGGCTACCCCATACTTAAGGCAGGTTTCACAGATCTAAAGCTGCCCCTTCTACTCAAAAAAGAAACACATGCACAACTCAGCCTTTTGAGAAAAATTACTGACAATTACTGTCAGAAAACGTGGTGCTTAGGGGGAAAAATACCACTCCAGATCAAACATCTCCAGATTGCACTGCTGGTTTATGGAAGGACCAGGAGTTTCTAAGGACTTAACCCTACCTTAACTGTTGTAACTTATTGATACAGTGCCTCTTAAATAGGTGGCAAGGGTCACAAACCTGTTCAGACAAGCCAGTAATAACACATTCAATTACAGCTTTACAAACGAGCCAAATAAAATAACCTCAAGAGAACATTATGAAAGTACAAAGGCAAAAGATTTTCATTCATATGACTCTCCTGTACTTATCTTTCGGTAGACTTAAGTCAGAATTTAGCCACATCTTCAAGTTGAAAGGCAGAAGGTTTTATTCAACGAAAATAAAAGTTACAAAAATAAGACATCAGACCTTTTAAATCTCTGTGAAACAGAGTGACTAGTATTTTATAATTGCCAAGGGGCAAGTTCTTAGCTTTTCCAGTCTATCCACTCAAATGCAGCCAATTTTTGACATTTATTACAATAAATGATATTTCTTGAATACCTTATGAGCAGCCTGAAGTATCTTATGAACAATTCATGATAAATCATATTTCTTAAAACTGCATTTCTGCCCCTTATCCTACCATTCAAAATTTGTCATGCTAGGATAGTTTATATCCTTAATCTGAATTTTAATATTCTGCAATGTACTAGTGTCCCACTCACTTCGTGTATTGTGCTCTTATTCAGTGTTAGATTCCACAAAAAAAGTTTGTGAAAAGATAAGAATGGGCACCTTCTTAGCCAGTAATATAAGAAAAGATGCTGTCAAGGTTGTTTTTGATAAATATGCATGGGCTCTACAGAAAGGGGAGAAAGGCAAAAAGATTTAAATTCGTGCCTCTGGCTCAGAAAGATCACATGCAGGAAAACTACATACAAATCACATTTGTAGTTTATAGCCTACCTTTTTAATATACTTTGTTTCTGAACAAAGGAAGTGAACATTTGAGCATACATGAATAACATTAATAGTGAAGCTTCTTCAAAGACTTTACAGGATTAACTTTTAGGAAAGGCTATATTCCACCAAACTCCAGTGGATCACCAATCTGTTTACTGTTGCAAGAATACCAACTATTATCAAATTGTTTCCTGTTACATTTTTCATACTGTTATAACCTGCTTTTATGAAGCAGTTGACTGAAAATTATAACTTTCCAAAATTAAACAAGCAATACCCATCGGCTGCAGCATTCAGTACTTATCTCATTGACAAATATACCCTCATTGCTCTTCATACTCTTGACTATAAATTCTAGTCCATTAATCTTTATAATATTGATAATGCTTACAGCCCTTCCCCTAACATACCATTCCTGAATGACATAAGCACCTCCTTGCAATTTTATCATGGTTCCATTCATTATTCATGCATTTATACCAGCAGCGCACAAACTTTTGCAATGGAACATATGGAGCTGCCCAAAACTGAATCAGACCCCCAGCTAACTACTCTAGTATTATGTACTGTAACAGGAAACAACACTTTATGGCATCTAATCGAGGTATTTTATAGCCTTACTAATGGAGATCATCATCTCTTTTTAAAAACCTAACTACTGAGCTATGGACTTACTGGTAACTAAGGACTCCAGGAAAAGCACATCATCCGTTTGCCTAAACAACTTGTGATGGGGTAACTGAAGGACCACCTCCTCACCTGTCAAGGATCTTCCCATACTTTGGTCTCTGTGACACCACCTGGTAACAACTGGAGACAGGACTTTCTCGGTAGTGGTGCCTCACCCCTTGGAACTCCCTCTCCCTTGAGGCTCACCAGGCTATCAGTGCAATCCTATACACAGTTACTGTAGTCCAGCCCAGTGAAAAGAGCAGGCTAAAACTAGAGTAAATGCACAGGATGCACTGCAAAACATTTCTCACTAACCAAGCTTTTAGCTGAAGTTTAATCCCATCCTTTTAAAGCTGTCTGGGTTTTTTGTACCAATATCCCTCCTGACTGCTATTCTATGACCTCTACTGAAATTTCTTTGCTGCTGCTTTTATGCCCTTTTATGGTGGTTTTATTGCTAGTTCTCTCATGGGGTTTATTATTGACTAGGAGGAAGGCCCGTTGTGGGAAGAAATACAGCGAGCTCTAGAAGGAATCTCCAGATGAGTGTCCTGGCTGTGGCTCGTGGGGTGGCAGAGGGAAGCCATGTTTATTTCCTTCTGCTTAGCTATAAGGCAGGGCTGTCTCAAGTCATTTTGCTGCCTCAAGTGGGTAGTATGGGAGGACAGCCTCATGGTAACAGGTTTGGTTCCCTCCACCCCTGACTTACGTTGATTTGGGGCTATGCAGTGACAGCTAAGGTAGAAAAGCACCTCCTCCTATGCCATGTCTTCTGGCTTCCAAGGGTCTGGAAATCGGTTCCATAGCCAGTTACAGGGTTACCAACTCTGGGTTGAGAAATACCTGTAGATTTGAGCGGCAGAGCCTGGGGAGGGCAGGGTTTGGAGGGACCTCAGCAGGGTATAATTCTATAGAGTCCACTGCCCAAAGCAGCCATTTCCTCCAGGAGAACTGATCTTGGAGATCTCAAGGTGCTGCCTGGAGGCTGGCAATACTAAGGGGAGGGCCAGACCTGTAGATTTGAGGGGTAGAGCCTGGGAAGGGCAAGGTTTGGGGTGTGGAGGGACCTCAGCAGGGTATAATGCCAGAGTCCACTGGCCAAAGCAGCCATTGTCTCCAGGAGAACTGATTTTGGTCATCTGGACATCAGTTGTAATAGCTGGAGATCTCCAGGTGCCGCCTGGAGGTTGGCTTATGTTAATTTGGGGTTATGCAGTGGCAGGTAAGGTAGAAAAGCACCTCCTCCTATGCCATGTCTTCTGGATTCCAAGAGTCTGGAAAACAGTTCCGTAGCCAGTTACAGGGTTGCCAACTCTGGGTTGGGAAATAGCTGTAGATTTGAGGGGTAGAGCCTGGGGAGGGCAGGGTTTGGGGTGGGGAGGGACCTCAGCAGGGTATAATGCCATAGAGTCCACTGCCCAAAGCAGCCATTGTCTCCAGGAGAACTGATCTTGGTCATCTGGACATCAGTTGTAACAGCTGGGAAATTTTCTGTAGGGGAAATGATGTGCTGTGGCTGGGAAACACGGTGATTTGTGGGAGATCTCCAGGCCCCACAGAGAGACTGGGGTATTTATTTTATCTCCGGACTCCCAAAAGCAACAGCAAACTGTTTAGAATGTTAGAGGCAAAGGCCAATCAAGCCACAGATGCAAATGACCTCTGTGTTCTGACTGGCTATTGGGGGGAGAGGAAAAGCAAACTGTTTAGAATATTGGAGGCGAGACTCAGGCAACGCAGCCAGTGGATAGGGACAGCTTCTGAATGACAGATCATGGAGCCAAAGGCTGTGGGCGCTGTGTGGAATGTTCAGCAACGTGCCACCACCAAATCAGCTTTATAATATAGGAGAGATGGGTTTAGTATTTTACATTGCTTTATTATTGTTTTATGTAATGTAGAATTATTTTTATTTCTTTTTATTGTTAGCTACCTCCAGCAGGTTCCTGAGGTAGCATACATGTTTCCTAAATTAAAGAAACAAATAAATAAATTGCACCTACCAGACTGGTGCATTTTACTGTATCATCTGAAGGGTAAGACAATGCCATCACAAAGGGCTCTCTCTGCCCTCAGTATGCCTCTTTTTCTATTTTACCATTCCTTGGTCCTATGACTTATCCTTACTAAATTCTGCTTCCTACTTCATCTGCTAATACCTTTGCTGTCTTGTTCTATCTCCCTTCTCCTAAACTGAACCCTCTTTCATTTCAGTACACCTTTAGCAGCTTGTCTGTCTACAGGGTTTTATACATGCCTTGCCTTTCCCGGCTGTGGCACAGCTCACCAATTGGGCAATGAGACTATAATATGACATTTGTCCAACATTATGTCAGCCTTTGAGGGCTACAATAAAACTACTCAGCTGAACAGAAACAGTGGCACAAAGGCAGAGATGAAAATTTGAAACCTACTAATTTTGTCTGAACCCCAGGTTTCCAGATATTTCATATTGCTTACAAAGCTGTAAAAACAATTTTAAAATATTAAATGACAAACTGCAGGAATCTTTTTGAAGTAAACATTTTGTCACAGCTTTGCTAAAATGCCAATGGCAATAGATCACATTGTTATTTTTAGATGCTATACAATTCTTCATCTTTTTGGATTACTCTGCCCAATATTCCCAATGCTTTTAAAATACAAGTATTTCAAAGGAAACATAACCATACATTTTGAGTAATTCAAAAACTGTTAAAGACAGCTGGGAGTTAAAACTCCTTTGTTCTACATATGTATCACAAGATTTTCTTTGTACAAGGAAAAATACAATCTAAATTTTTAAAATAAGACATACCAGTGCTTGACTGGAAGATTGTAGGTAACTTCTTGCCAGTGCCTTTGAGCTTCATAGTCACCATATAACGGTGATTTTCCTGCACCTAGAAAACCAACAATGTGTATCAAAATTATTAGCTTATTAATTTGTGAATTAGTGTACTAATTAGTTATCTTATTGATAGTTCACTAGTACTGCTCTAAATTCAACAGTTTATGTGGAAATTAGTATGATCCGGATAATAACTGTGTGTCAAAAATTAACACCTGAGAGTATTTTACAATAAATTTTTCAGCACAAAAAGAATCTTCAGGATGGCATCAGCCGAGGAATACTTTCAGTATTCTAGGTAATTCTTTGATGGGCATATTCCTTTTTATACTCAGTTGTTTCAGATACCAAAGTGAAGCTCTTATCATCTTACAAAACAGCCAGAAATATTAACTATGTAATACCTGGCTTGTTCAGAAACACGCTTGCTAATGCACTGTAGAGTCCTATACTTACCTTTCTGCCTTTACTAGTTGTAAATGTTTTCATCATCTGCTTTGAACCTTATATTCAGCAGCTAATTATTTTTTTCTTTACAATGACTGATTTAGTATACTTCTTTTCCAAGCTCTAGCTTTGAATCTGGTTAGGAGCTACAGCTCATTTTATTTATATCTAAATATAGTTTTCGGAATTATATCATCCTTTGGTTTCACAGCCTTGTTTTCAACTTATTGTTCTCCCTGCAGCCAGTGTTTCTAAATGATGAGTGACAAGTCGCCCCCATTCCCCATCTGACTCTTGTCAGGAAATTCTTTTAATGTTTTATATAAAAACGCTATCAATGTAAAATTTCTATGGCTTTGTTCTAAATGAGGACCAAGCAACAATTTAATCACATTAAATACAGATTATTCAGTTCCTGTCTCTTGTAATTACCTATTAAGAACACACAGTTATTTCTGCTAAGATATTGACTCTAGCCTCATGGAGATTGAAGAGTTTCTTTTAAATATAGGGAAACCATCTATAATTCTTTCATATGATCTATGTTTGAGCACTTCACACAAGCAGCAGAGAAAGATATAATTTGTCCCTGGGTAGCACAGACGATTTCTACAAGAAAGGACATTCTGAGAAAATATTTCCAGACTGGTCAGTTCTATGAATAGAAGTTCACTCAATGGACACTTGAAATGATAACTGTGTTGGGCAAACTGAAAAGAGCTTTCAGGTATGGCTCTCCCAGATTTCCTTTGTGGGGAAAGATTTTTAATGGCATGAATGCTATACTCACTGATAATCAATGGGACTTAGGCCTTACCATGAGCCACATTACCTCATCATTTTGAACTTATGGTGCAATACTTCTTAACAGCTGCACACTGTACAGAATATGAGTTGTTATATCATGCTTTTGTTTGCATTAGTACATGCACATGTATACCAACATACACACATTGCCAGAGGAAATTTCTTGCCAGTGCCTTTGACTTTGGTAACTTTCTTCAGCCATCTAGATAGAGTTGCCAGCTCCCTGTTGGGAAATTCCTGGAGATCTAAGAGAGGAGTCTGGGGAGACGAGGGTTGGGGGGGGGCTCACATGGGTATAATGTCATAGAGTCCAAAGCAGCCATTTTCTCTGTGGAAACTGATCTCTGTCATCGAGGGATCAATTGTAATTCTGGGAGGTCTGCCTACCTGGAGGGTGGCAATCCTAAGAAGTACCACCAATTAGTATTGAGGTTAACTGGTGTGGTTAGTCCAGTGACCATTAGTTAGCAAAGTGCTTAAATAAAGCTACAAATGCAGCAACGTCACTTTACCAGGTTACTCAGCTTACAAAGCTACACAGAGCCACATTGCAAATTTAGAAGAGAAATACTTCTCTCTTTATTTGAGAAGTACACTTTGGATAGGAAAGAGTAGATACATGATAGATTACTAACTTACTAGCTAAATGATAAAAGCAGATGGCAAGAGGCCCATCTGCCTCATTGTGCCAAGAGAGGACCGCATGTCTCTCTTGGTGTGTGCAAGAAGAGAGGTTGTCTTCATCAGAGTGAGAGAGAAGGAGGCAGGGGAAATGGTCCCTGAGAACACAATCTGCATTTCAAAGAGGACAGTGCAGGAGAGTAAAGACAGTAAGAAAGGTCAGTGGGGCTTTCTGTTTTGGCGCTCGCCATGGCGGCCGTGTTCCCCTGGAGCTCCAGGAGACCTGCACCAGAGCCCACGGCTGGGAGGGGGTGCGATTGTCCGCACCTACCCTGGAGCCCTTGCGAAGGGCTCCCAGCCATGGGGCGCTAGGAGAGCCCTTCCTCCGGTGTCTGGCCGGCGAAGAGGGGCTGTTCCATGCCCCAAAGGTCCCACTGCAGAGCTTCCCTGCGAGGAACTAGAGATGCACACAGGATTAGGCGTTTGGTGGCCGAGCGAACCTGAATTTAAAGTGATATCATGATTGAAATATGAGTCAAGTTTAAGCAAAAACACCAGAAAACTAGCGGAAAGCTGTCCCCATTGGAAGTGGAGGGGAGGGAACTCCCCCTCGACCAGGGGGAAAAAGTGAACACTTTGCAGCAGACAAGGGGGGGAGCGGGCTATCTAAACAAAGTGGATGGAAATAAAAAGCTTATAAGAACTTACCAGGCATTTTTAAGGACTTTGAGGACCTGTGTAACTTTTGCAAAAAGTAAACAACAATCTCCAACATGGCACCTCCGAGGAGGGAGGAGAAAGATAAGCTACCGAAACTGAAGCCTCTTGCCGGAAGTGCCAGCCCAGCGAGTTCTGTCCGTAGACAGGACACAGTTACAGATCTTCAAAAGATGCTGAATGAGGCACTGTGCCCTCTGCTGGAACAAGTCACGTGATTGGACCAAAAATTCGACACTCAACAATGCAGATGACTGAGATAGCCAAAAAACCAGAGCAAACGCAGCAAGAGCTTAAAGAGGTGGATGCCAACACCAAGAAGCTTAAAAAACAAATGCAGGTGATGGAGGAAAAAAAAGATCAGCTGATGAGTCACATTTGTTACAGCTGCAAATGGAAAGGGCAAGCTACACCCTTAGATTTCAAGGGATCCCCAAAGAGACGGGAGAAAATTTGAAACAGACTATGTGTGACTCTTTAGGCCCTGTGGCAGATATTAAAGCGGATACTTTACAAAGCGAAATAGATACAATCTTTAGGTCGTATTCTGAATTTACAAGAAAGAATAATCTGCCCGGGGAAGTGATGGTGAGGTTCTCCAGACGACAAGTGCGAGATCAAATACTCAAAGCGACAAGTGGAGTTAACTTGAAAATCAAGGACAAAGAAATAAAAACTTTGAAGGACATTCCGTTTGAAATAAGAAAGAAAAGAAAGAAATTTAGAGACAGCTTTATTTTTAAAGAAAAACAACATCCCCTACAGATGGATTGTGCCCAAAGTCATAATCTTTAAATTCAAAGATTAAAAAGGAAAGAATTGACTCTGTTGAAAAGGCACATGAGTTTCTACAGCATCATAATCGTCCAGCAGGAGAAGGAGAGGAGGAGGAAGGCAACAGCATCAAGGGAAGTGAAGAAGAAGGAGCAGTGACGTATTCTAATGAGGACTCAGATTCTAAACTTGGGGCAGTAGCCCCCAAAACAAGTTATCATTTGAGAAAGAAAAAGGACAAAAAATGAGTTATCACAGTCCTTAAGATCCATTCTAACATTTCTTATATTGCTTTTTAAATAGTCAGATATGTTGGTGGTTTTATCTCTAATATGTATGAAGATTATACTTGTTGACCACATCCAATGAACTTTAATCGAACTTTAAGCTAAAAGCTAATTTTATAAGCATTATGTATGACCACCACTTCTTGGGTTTTTAGTGGTTTTTCTTTACTTTCTCCCATAGTTTGTAGATTCCTTTCCTAATTTTGTTGTAGTTTATAGAAAATGCAATCAAAAATCTCCTACGGGGGACAAGAAAGAAAGAAAGAAAGAAAGAAAGAAAGAAAGAAAGAAAGAAAGAAAGAAAGAAAGAAAGAAAGAAAGAAAGAAAGAAAGAAAGAAAGAAAGAAAGAAAGATCAGTGTGCCTATCTAGCCTCTGTTGCCACTCAGTCTGGAGGTATGAGACAGGGGACATCACACCTGGAACTTCCAACAATTAGTGATGCCACCTCTCAGAAGTTATGAAAGTGTACTCCTCAGTTAATATTACAAAGGGTACTATGGACCAAACAGTAAAATATTAGCAAGATCTGAGTCAGTCATTGCTAGGCATTTGCAAACAGTAATAAAAGCAAACAAAGCAAAAGTTAGTGTTTTATTAGCTAGCATGTTTCTTTCAAGACTAGCCAGATAAAACACAGTTAACATTGTATACTTATTGAAAATTCTGCTTTGATGCAAAAAGGATATGGGTCCAAATCTAAAGTACTTGAATCTCACTTCTGGTAGTAGGTAATTAAATACCAAACTGACCAGCTAGCTAAACATTTTTGTCCTTCAATAATCGAAAGTATTTCATGCTTAAGTTTTGCACATTATATATTTTCTTCGTTGGCTATACTTTGCATTGAGGCTGCCAATGAAATCAATGGGATTTAACAGCATGTATACAGGATTGTAGCCTTAGGGTACAGATAAGGAGAGAGTTATAATTCTGTGTTCATAATCCTTCGGGAGAAGGGAGAAGAGAGTTGTAAAGTGTAACATTTCAAAAGTTATTACTAAGCAGACCCTTAAAGCAGTATACCAGTACACATTTTATTATGGTGACTGAGGTTTGCACTTAAAGAGCATATGTTCCCAAGTATAAAAGTACAAAGCTGGCCTAAGGTCAGTCAAAATGTTCTAGCTAGCTTCTACACCTGCAATGGGCAAAGCAGATAGTACTCAATGATAAAGCTCTCAAAAAGGACCGCCTGAAGGACCGCCGTTTCTCACATGTCCCCCAGAGAGCACTGAGGTCAGGGTCACAAAATCGTTTGGCTCTCCCTGGTCTGAAAGACACCAGACTGGCCTCTACCAGGGCTAGGGCTTTCTCAGTGGTGGCTCCACACTGGTGGAAAGAGCTCCCAGAAGACATCAGGGCCCTGCAGGACCTTTTACAGTTCCGCAGGGCCTGTAAAATGGAGCTCTTCCACCAGGCTTTCAATTAGGAGTCGCCACGAACAACATCAACAACACTAACAATATTAACTGAACTGTTAAGGCCCTTTATGCTGACACCAATAGCCGGCCATGCTGGATACTAACGGGGGCCATACTTTGGACCATCATATTATGGTCACAGGTACGCCACCGCCACTAGCCCTTTATTCTATTTTGTACTGTGATTTGGTACGCTTTGTAGCCCTTTATTCTATTTTGTACTGTGATTTGGTACGCTTTGTATTTTATGATGCTGTATTGTATAAGCACGTGTGTTTTAATATATTTTAAAACTTTTATTGTAAGCCGCCCTGAGCCTACCTTGGCAGGGAGGGCGGGATAAAAATCAAATAAATAAATAAATAGAAAAGCATCATTTCGGAATTATTGACCTAAAGTTAATTAACCTTGGGGAAAAAACAGTCAACACTTTATATTTTGTTAAATATATTCTGTAAATCTAT